ATGAACAGTCCAAAAAGGAACGACAGGCAGACAGAGAGAAACCGATGCACAGGGCTTCCAAGTCTGTCCACGGGTATGTGTGTGTGGTTGCAGTTGCATCAGGACAAAGTTTTATGAAATATCCACCACAAGCGTTGACTCAAAGAAAGTAGAGAGAGAATAAAATAAAAGGAGACGACGGACAACAAAACGAAGCAATAAATTTTCATTACTTTGTAGAAAATATAATAAACTATTGACAACCCTGGCAGGAGGCGGCGACGACAACTAGGACTAGCAACAGCCACAAGAAAAATTGGAAATGTATTTAACATAACAAAAATGGATATGGAAAAAGTTACTGCAAGGATGAACCAGCGAGGATTTTTTAAAGGACCAACAGAACAGATGATTTTTTAAAGAATATTTTTTCAAGGACCAAACAGAAGCGTGGATTTTTAAAAGAAAATTTTTTAAGGACCAACAGAAGCCTGGGTTTTTAATGAACATTTTTCAAGGATTTTTTAAAGAATATTTTTTAATGAATATTTTTTCAAGGTCCAACGGAAGCCTGGATTTTTTAAAGAATATTTTTTTATGAATATTTTTTCAAGGACCAACAGAAGCCTGGATTTTTTAAAGAACATTTTTTTATAAATATTTTTTCAAGGACCAACAGAAGCCTGAATTTTTTAAAGAATATTTTTCCAAGGACCAACAGAACGTGGATTTTCAAGGAATATTTTTTCAAGGACCAACAGAAACGTGGATTTTTTAAAGAATATTTTTGAAAAGGACCAACAGAAGCGTGGATTTTTTAAAGAATATTTTTGAAAAGGACAAACAGAAGCGTGGATTTTTTAAAGAATATTTTTGAAAAGGACTAACAGAAACGTGGATTTTTAAAGAATATTTTTTCAGGACCAACTGAAGCGTGGATTTTTAAAAGAAAATTGTTTAAGGACCAACAGAAGCCTGGGTTTTTAATGAACATTTTTCAAGGATTTTTTAAAGAATATTTTTTAATGAATATTTTTTCAAGGTCCAACGGAAGCCTGGATTTTTAAAAGAATATTTTTTTATGAATATTTTTTCAAGGACCAACAGAAGCCTGGATTTTTTAAAGAACATTTTTTTATAAATATTTTTTCAAGGACCAACAGAAGCCTGAATTTTTTAAAGAATATTTTTCCAAGGACCAACAGAACGTGGATTTTCAAGGAATATTTTTTCAAGGACCAACAGAAACGTGGATTTTTTAAAGAATATTTTTGAAAAGGACCAACAGAAGCGTGGATTTTTTAAAGAATATTTTTGAAAAGGACAAACAGAAGCGTGGATTTTTTAAAGAATATTTTTGAAAAGGACTAACAGAAACGTGGATTTTTAAAGAATATTTTTTCAGGACCAACTGAAGCGTGGATTTTTTAAAGAATATTTTTTCAGGACCAACTGAAGCGTGGATTTTTTAAAGAATATTTTTTTTCAGGACCAACTGAAGCGTGGATTTTTTAAAGAATATTTTTTCAGGACCAACTGAAGAGTGGATTTTTTAAAGAATATTTTTTCAGGACCAACTGAAGCGTGGATTTCTTAAAGAATATTTTTTCAGGACCAACTGAAGCGTGGATTTCTTAAAGAATATTTTTGAAAAGGACTAACAAAAACCTGGATTTTTTAAAGAATATTTTTTCAGGACTAACAGAAACCTGGATTTTTTAAAGAATATTTTTGAAAAGGACCAACAGAATCGTGGATTTTTTTTAGAATATTTTTTAAAGACCAACAGAACGGTGGATTTTTTAAAGAATACTTTTTAAGGACCAACAGAATCGTGGATTTTTTAGAATATTTTTTAAAGACCAACAGAACGGTGGATTTTTTAAAGAATATTTTTTAAGGACCAACAGAAGCGTGAATTTTTTAAAGAATATTTTTTCAAGGACCAACAGAAGCGTGGATTTTTTAAAGAATATTTTTTCAACGACCAACAGAAACGTGGATTTTTTAAAGAATATTTTTTCAAGGTCCACAAGAAGCGAAGATTTTTTAAAGAACATTTTTGAAAAGGACCAACAGAAGCGTGGATTTTTTAAAGAATATTTTTGAAAAGGACCAACAGAAGCGTGGATTTTATGAGGTCCTACAGAAAGTTGATGTTTCAAGGATCACTAGACAGTGGACCTTCAAACATTGATTTTTAAGGATTAATTTTTCAAGGACCAAACGTGGATTCTTAAAAAATATTTTTTCAAGTAACAAAAGTAGATTTTTTAAAATTATTTTTTCAAGGACCAATCGACCTTCAAGCTTGAATTTTTTAAGATTATTGTTTTCAAGGGCCAACAGACCTTTCAGCGCAGATTTTTTAAGTTTATTTTTTCAAGGACCAAAAGACTTTGAAACATGCATTTTTAATTTTTTTCAACAACCAACAGACCTTCGAACGTGAATTTTTTAAATAATTTTTTCAACGACCAACGGACCTTCTATCGCACATAGTGAGATAAAAAAACTACAACGCCATATTTTTTACATTTTTTTTTAATTTTATTGAATGAATGCAATAAATGTCGGAAATAGCATCAATTCTTAGAATAAGTTTAGATTTGTTCGAATTGGCCACCTTTGGCACGAATTACGGCCTTTAAACGGCCAATGAAACCGCCACAAGCCGCCCGAATGTTGCTCTGCGGTATTTTGGCCCATTCCCGGTGAAGCGCTTGTTTGAGGTGATCGACACTTTTGTATTGTTTAGTGTCAACCTTGCTTTCCAAAATTCTCCAGACACAATCCAATCCGTTGGGCTGGTATCCGGAGATTTTGGTGGCCATTGAGCGCTGGAAATTAAGCGAGTAACCTCATTCTGTAACCATTCTTGGGTGGCGCGTGCTGAGTGCGATGGTCTTGAGTCCTGTTGGAATGTCCAAGGTCCGCGGGCAAAATGTTTGCGTATCCAAGGCTTTAATATACCCTCCAGAATATTTTCGCGATAATAATAGATATTTATTCTGATGCCCCGGTCGATTAATATGAGCGGAGAGCGACCATCGGCTGTTATGGCGGCCCACACCATCACCATGGCCGGTGCTTGAGTTCGTTCTGGTGGCCAACCGAGGGTGCACATTTTTAGCTGACCTCTTTGACAAGTAAACACGATCTATTTGTTTGTTTACAAACTGCTGGACAACGAATGTTTTCTCATCGGAGAAAACCAAATCCGGCAGTTCACCACTTTCGGCTAAGCGAAGCGACTCTTTAGCTCTTTTGAGTCTATTTTCTTTCTGTTGCGGTGTAAGTTCTTGAACTTTTTGGAATTTCAATGGCTTTACCCCGAGCTCATTTTTCAATATTTGCCGAATGGAATATTGTGATATGTTCAGCTCTCGAGCCATTTCTCGGCCACTGCGACACGGGTTTCGATAAAGTCGCTTCTTTACTTTTCGAACCATTTCTTTTGATGTTGCTGTTTTCTTCCGTACACTTCCTTGACGTCGGGCTACGCTACCAGTATCAAGATAACGAGTGATGGCACAAGACTCTAAAGATTTATCCACACTTAAATGCTGGAGTGCTCTAACGATAGCCACTTGTGGTTTTCCAGCCAAATATAAAGAAATCACATAATCACGCTTGAATTCCATCACAAATAACTTTTTTTTCTGGAAAACTCTCACCAAAATGCTTTTGTACGCTTGTAAACAATATAATGAGCTGTCACTGGAATAATTTTAACAGCTGTCGGACGAGTGGCTTAGAAACGACAGCAGTCTGAAGTTGGTTGCAGTTTTTTCAAACAAAATGGATATGGGAACGTGTTGAAATAAAAATATTTAAAATCAGGCAAAAGTTTCTGCAAGGATGGATCAAAATAACGTGGAATTCCTTAAAGAATATTTCTTCAAGGACCAAAAAAATGTGAAAGTTTTTTAAAGAATATTTTTTGATAATATTTTTCAAGCACCAACAGAACATGAATTTTGGAAAGAATATTATTTCAAGGGCCAACAGAAGCGTAGATTTGTTAAAGAATACATTTTCAAGGACCAACATAACGTGGATTTTTAAGGGCTATGGACGTGGATTTTTCAAAGAATGTTTTTTTTCAGGGGTCAACAGAACGTGTATTTTTAAAAGAATATTTTATCAAGTGGAAATGAAATACTTTTCAAATACTTTTTCAAGGACACTTGGAACGTGGATTTTAAAATTATTTTTTCTAGGACCAACAGACCTAAAGACGTGGATTTCTAAAAATTATTATTTTAAGAATCAACAGAACCTGGATTTTTCTGAAATATTTTCTCAAGGACCAATAGAACCTGGATTTTTCTGAAATTATTTTTTTAAAGGAGCAACAGAAAAGTGGATTTTCTAAACGTATTTTTTTAAGGACTAACAGACCTTCAAACCTGGATTTTTTTTAAATATTTTTTCAAGAATTAAAAAGGTTTCAGATGTGGATTTTTATGATTATTTTTTCAAGGACCAACAGACCTTCTAATGTGGATACTTTAAAATTATTTTTTCGAGGAACAACGGACCTTCAAACCTGGATTCTTGAAAATTATTTTTCAAGGAACAACGGATCTTCAATCGTGTATTTCTTAAGATTATATTTTCACATTACATTTTTAAGTATCCTTAACTTCAGTCTAAAAAAAATTGATTTCACTTACTTTGTTTTTTTTTTGCTTTTGTTTTTCATTTTATTTATTTAGTTTTCTTTTGCTAAAGATATATTGTATTTAATAATAATACGTAATTTAATTAACAACAATAAAACCTAATATATAATTTATGTATATTATGCGTACGTTATATATATGCTTATGAAATTATGTATTTTTTTGTTATTATTTTGCGTTTTGTTGCTTTTTTGTTTCAATGACGGTGTATTTAATTTCCATTCACGATATATATATATATATCTTCGAAAGAATATATGCATGTCTTTCACGTTTTTTTTATTTTGTTTGTTAACCTCTCTTTAGGTTATTAAGTTTCATTTGTATTGGACATTTTGTTTTTTTTTTTCGAAAACAAAATTGAGAAGGATCACAATAAGTTGGAGGGGTGGAAAAAAAGAAAGAAGTGAATATAAGAAGAAAAATAATAGAAGTGAAAATTACATATATACAATAAAATTGGGTGTTGTTCTTGTCAATGTTTGAAGTTGGAAATTTAAAAGTAGTTTTCAGATGTTTCTCTGTCAAAATAGAGTCACAAATTATTGATTTATTTAAAAATGACAAATTTATTTTTAATAGAAGCTTGGATTTTATTGCCTTCAATTCCTAGACATGTAGTATCACGCATGGCTAGATAGACCCAACTCCTCTAAATATAAATGTCAGTATGATAAAAGTTGGACTAAGGATCAGTAATTTGATATCTCAGGTCAATTGCTCTATCGAAAAAGGCGTAGCATTATGCAAAGCAACAGATTAACAAGTAAAAAAGCTGTAAGTTCGGCCTGGCCGATCTTTGAATACCCTCCACCATTTGGAACGAATTTAGCAATTTTCAAAAAAATAAAATCCGTTTTCTGTCATAGGCTGTAGTACCCATAACGAAATTCAAATACCAAATTTTAAATAATTCCGGTAAATAATGTCGCTACAATCATCGAATATCGGGTGGTACCCTTATATGGAGGCTATACGAAGACGTGGACCTGCACAGACAATTTTCTGTCTTAGGATGTAGTAACCATAACGAACTTCAAATACCAAATATGAAACCATTCCGATGAATGATGTTGCTGAAATCATCAAAATACCGAATATCGGGAGGTACCGTTATATGGGGGCTATACGAGGAATTGGACCTGCATACAAAAATTTTTGGCATAGGCTGTAGCACCCATTAGGATCTACCAGCACGAAATTTGAAACGATTCCGACGAATAATGTCGCTAAAATCAGGAAAATACCCAATATCGGGAGGTATCGTTATTTGGGGGCTATACGAGGACTTGGACCTGCATACAAAAAACTTTGTCATAGGCTGTAGTACCCATGACGAACTTCAAATACGAAATTTGAAACGATTCCGGTAAATAATGTCGCTAAAATCTTGAAAATAACCAATATCCGGTGGTATCGTTATATGGGGACTATACGAAGACTTGGACCTGCATACAAAAATTTTTGGCATAGGCTGTAGTACCTATTACGAACTTCACGTACGAAATTTGAAACGATTCCGGTAAATAATGTCGCCAAAATCGTGAAAATACCGAATATCGGGGGGTACCGTTATATGGGGGCTATACGAAAACGTGGACCGACATGGCCCATTTACGAACTTAACCTGCCTACTGGTCAACTATGCATGTATGCAAAATATTAGCCTTCTATCTCAATTCGTTCGAAATATATGGTGGAAGGTATATAAATTATTTAATCATTCATTTGTTAGGAAATAACGAAAAAAGGCCAAATCGGGCACTGGAACATTTTCGTCCATCGAAAGGAAAATGAGAAGATATCCATCACTAAAATATTTTATACTCTTTGGGGCCCTCGTTTTCAAATATGACATGGAAAAATATTAAACATAATAATTTCTAAAAGATTCCAGTGAATATTTTTTACAACTGCATTCAAGGGTCACATTGATTTGATTTCCAAATTGTCGAAATGAAATATGTTTACATATAAATGTACAATTTTCTTATAAACTCCAAACAATGACAAGTTCTCCTCAAAAGAAGCCAGACTAATATACAATAGAATTACAATAAAATTATAATATTTATATATAAAAGAAAATAAAACAATGCATATATAATATTTATAATAACAAGCTATAAAGCTATACAAATACGTAGTTTTTTTATTTAAGAAAAGAATAACGACAAAAAGGGAGAAATAAATGTCTTTAAGATCAGTGTGCAAATAAACTTGGCTTGTGAATAAATATAATATATAAATGAAGATCAATTGTGGATGGACAAACGTTTAGAGGGAGGGGAGTACTGAAAGAAACTATTAAACAAGCGAAAATTGAACCATGGAGAATGGCATTATAAATAGAAATAGACTTCTTTAATAAAATGTTAAGCCAAAGCCCTTTTAAATTATAAGCAAAGAAGTTTCGTTTGTTTGTTTGTTGCTTTTTTGTTTTCTTCAAGGATATTTGTTTAAATTTAATAAACATTAACACAGTAACTTATTTAGGCAAATATTGTAAAGCCAATAATACAATTTGTTGGTAAAATTTTGTTTTTGTTTTTGGCCAATAGAAATTAGGACAAATTGGAAACTAGAAACCGACTCTTTTTTGTTTTTTTTTTCTACAATTAAAAGGAATTTCTACATTTTAAATTAAGTGTTTTGTTGTTTCGCATTTTCTTGCCCAGTTTTCTGGCAATAAAAGAAACCTCAAATTAAAAATAAAATTTAAATAATTTTAATTTCTATACAGAAAACATATCCATGCACGCTTCTCTATTATCATCATCATTGGCGGCAATTGTTTCTCTTGTTGCTGCTATAGTTTACACATCACTTCCGTCAAACTATTCCTGACAAAAACCTTCAGTCTCTTCAATGGCAAATGTTAGTTTCTCAACCAATTGATCATAACTCTTGTAGGGTGGCAAATCCAGACGATTGAAACAGGTATGGGAGCGTGGCAGCCACGTTTCCTTGCCCACTTTTTCAATGCAAAACCGTTGAGGGCCATTCGAACCCATTAGCTCAGCAAAACCGCCCACCGGGACACGACATGTACCGGTAACAAATTGCAAGAGACGGGCCCGCTTTTCATTGTCCGTATCGCGTACAAACTGCAATGAAATTGAAATATTTTAAAATGTTTTTTTTTTTTTTTCAAAGAGAAAAAAGGTCAATCCTTACCTGCCAGAACCATACAACCTGCTTGGAATTGCGATTGTAATGCCTATAGATGGTATTGCGCTGCCAATCATCCACATCGACATCTTGCATGCCACACAATATCAGCTCCAATTCACGTTCATCGAAATATTTCAGCCATTCTAGTGGCACAACTTCATTGAAACCTTCCAAAAAGGTTTTGGTTTGTTGTTCAATGCCACTGTAAATAAAAGGGAAAGGAAAAAAATATTATTAAAGGATATTACTTGAAAATATTTATAAGTCCAGAAGGTCTTCTCATAGAAGACCAGAAGATATTCGAGTAGAAGACCTTCTGCTCATAGAGGACCACAAAGACTTCCCATAGAAGAGCAAAAGGTCTTCTCAAAGAAACCCAGGAGTTCTTCTCATAGAAGATCAGAAGTTCTTCTCATAGAAGATCAGAAGGTCTTCTCGTAGAAACCAGAAGGTCTTCTCATAAAAGACAAGAGGGTCTTCTCATAGTAGACCAGAAGATCTTCTCATAGAAGACCACAAAGTCTTCCGATAGAAGACCAGAAGGTCTTCTCATAGAAGACCAGAAGATCGTCTCATAGAAGACCAGAAGGTCGTCTCATAGAAGACCAGAAGGTCGTCTCATAGAAGACCAGAAGGTCGTCCCATAGAAGACCAGAAGGTCGTCTCATAGAAGACAAGAAGGTCGTCTTATAGAAGATCAGAAGATCGTCTCGTAGAAGACTAAAAGGTCGTCTTATAGAAGATCAGAAGATCGTCTCATGGAAGACTAGAAGGTCTCCTCATAGAAGACAGAAAGGTCTTCGCATAGAAGATAAGAAGGTTTTCTCATAGAAGACCAGAGGGTCTTCTCATAGAAGACCAGAAGGTCGTCTCATAAAAGACAAGAGGGTCGTCTCATAAAAGACAAGAGGGTCGTCTCATAGAAGACCAGAGGGTCTTCTCATAGAAGACCGCAAGGTCTTCTCTTAGGTGACCACAAGGTCGTCTCATAAAAGACCAGAGGGTCTTCTCATAGAAGACCACAAGGTCTTCTCTTAGAAGACCACAAGGTCTTCTCATAGAAGACCACAAGGTCTTCTCATAGAAGACCACAAGGTCTTCTCATAGAAGACCACAAGGTCTTCTCATAGAGGACCACAAGGTCTTCTCATAGAAGACCACAAGGTATTCTCATAGAAAACCACAAGGTCTTCTCATAGAAGACCACAAGGTCTTCTGATAGAAGACTAGTTCTTGAGAAGTTTGAAAATTACACCTGGACACTCGGAATAAAAGCACCTCCAGAATAGAAGACCACAAGGTCTTCTCATAGAAGACCACAAGAAGACCTTCTCATAGAAGACCACAAGGTCTTCTGATAGAAGACTAGTTCTTGAGAAGTTTGAAAATTACACCTGGACACTCGGAATAAAAGCACCTCCAGAATAGAAGACCACAAGGTCTTCTCTTAGAAGACCACAAGGTCTTCTCATAGAAGACCACAAGGTCTTCTCATAGAGGACCACAAGGTCTTCTCATAGAAAACCACAAGGTCTTCTCATAGAAGACCACAAGGTCTTCTGATAAAAGACTAGTTCTTGAGAAGTTTGAAAATTACACCTGGACACTCGGAATAAAAGCACCTCCAGAATATTTCCATAAATAATAAATCTTTTTCCAACTACTCACCGCGTCATTCTCCACTCCGTCATCAGTGTGATGTACTCCTCCTTGTTCTCTTCGGTCACTCGCTCCTTTTCGCCATTCTCCTTCAACTCATGATGAATAATCTGGCCCAGCACCTCAAAATCGACACTAAACCACAACTCCAGCCCACACTCATCGATGTTATTGTCCTTGACCCAAATTAGCGAATTATAAAATTCCGGATCGATGGTTTCAATATCTTTGATGGTCAGTTTTTTATTCAACATACGCTTGTAGAATGGCATCGTAAAACCGGAATAAATGAAACGACCATGATACAGAGCCATGGCTATGAAACGACCAATAAATTTGAAATATTGCAAATGGTCGGGATTAACATAAGAGGCGGGATTTATTTGTAGACTATAGTTGTTTTTGTTGGCATATTCAAAAAGGCAATACATAGGATTGAGAACTTCATGTGAGAGTAGGAAAAACCATTCTCGCGAAACACCGCCATAATCGAGACCCTCTTCGCCGCGGAATATGATATAGAGACGGCGCCGCAGCTCATAGGCGGGCAGACGCATAATCTGATGATAGGAATCCTCGAATAGGGTCTGACGGGTCACAGTTATTTTGATATGGGAGGGCAGAGCATTGCTCTGGCACAAGTAACGGAACTGGGACAGCTTCCAACGGAAACTACGTTCATAGGCCCGCGGCACTCCATACACACCCTTGGCCCCCTTGGGTGCCCCGGGTCTGGGATCATCGAACGTTGTTCGTCGGGTATTGTGATCGACAAAGAATCTTTCGCCGGCGGCCGTATAGCGTATCTCCCAACCTGGCGGCAAGGGACCCTCATTGATTAGACTGACCTCTTGACCCTGGGTACGTGGATCCTCCCATTGTGTGGTGCGATTCTTATGATTAACAAAGTAAACACGATTGTCTGATTGTACTTTCTTCTCCCAGCCATCGGGCAGAGCACCCAGTGTGTCCTCGTCGTCTTGGGCCGGTGCCGCTGTCACAGCTGTGGGCTGCTGTTGTTGTTGGCCATAGAGGAACCTTTGATTACCTTGTGCTACGACATGAGCTCTTTGTCCTTGCCAGTGCTGGAAATGCATTAAGCGTTCACTGTTAGGTCTCTGCCAGGTGGTGGTCCTCGTATTATGGTCCACATAATACACTCGCCCTCTGGGATCCTTTCGTATTTCCCAACCCGGCGGCAGTGGGGTGGGTTTCTCCCAATAGGTTGATCGGGTGTTGTGATCGACATAATAACGTCGACCGTATTGATCGAAACGTATCTCCCAGCCGGCAGGCAAAGGTTCATCGTCTGCCTGGGCCGCCTGCAATTGTTGATCTGTGGCATTGGACACCGGCAAACCACTGCCGGTCACTGCCATGGCGGCTTGGGGATCGTTAGGCATCATACCACCGACAGCACCTTCCATCATACCCGGGACTGGCTGTTGACCCGCCGCCACACCTCCATTGGCATACATTTGTGACATAGGACGTGCACCTCCCGAGGCGGCTGAATTGCTTACCAGCGGAGAATTTGCAGTTGGACCGTTAATACGTGGATTGTGTGCCATGTGCATTTGTTGCTGCTGTTGAGCCACCATGGCGGCGGCAGTTTGGGGATCCCATGTGCCGGGTGGATTTGGTGCTCGTCTCATTGCACCTCCACCACCACCAACTTGAGAGGGTATCATGGCACCTGAACTACTGCTACGTTCCAAATTGCCATTCTGCATGGCCACCGGTGAACGGGAAGCACAGACACCGGGTGCCCCACTTTCGCTGACACTGCCGCTGGAACGCATACGCACTCGTGTTCTCACACCACCATATATCAGACAACTTCGTCCAGCAGCACCTTGTGCCGTTGCATTTATATCACCTCCTCCTCCAACAGGGCCAGCGGCGGTGGCGACACCAGCCGCTGCTGACGCTCCACCATTAGCTCCCATCATTGCGCCATTGCCGTTCTGCAACATAATACTACTCATATCGAGTTTAAGTCCATTCAAAATGGCCACCAGTTCACCGCTTTTCGTTTGACGATTATCCGATTTCGAGGTAACCAATAGATCCATACTAACTTCGAGAAATTCACAGCGTCCATTGTAGTGTTGTAAGATATGAGCCAAGCTGATGCTACGCTCGCCAAGCATTGCATCTTTGCGAAAGTTTGAATGATCCAGCACCTTAAAGTGTAGCACCGAATGTGGTGTTATCTGGGAAAGAGAAGAAAAGAGAATAGGTATTGTTAGAAGTCTCCGGAAACGAATCGTTAAAAACTAACTTAGAACCTATGGTTGGGCGGACCTTTCTGAGCACAATTTGGAGAAGAGAAACTCGCTGAGGAAGCTTGAAAGTTATATTAGAAAATGGAAACCAAAACAAAAAGGAATCAGGAATTAACATTAGTTATGTGCCTAAATTGGATATAGGTGGTCGGAAATACTGTCCTATTCCAATTGGTAAATGTATAGGATGTACAGACTTGTTCGATTAATTGGAAAAATTCGATGTATCGTGAAGGGTTTTAGAGCCACCTGAAGTCCTAACGAATGGGCCGAGAGGTGGATCTTTCATAACTATCTCTCCCAATGCAGTTAGCCTACACTGGAAATTTTGACATATCCTGTCATTGTTTTGTATTGTTTTCAAATTTCTTCATTAGATCTCGCTGAGTTCTGACCGGAGCAGCAAAATAATACCTGCTACTGGACTGGGAGGAATTTATTCCTGGATTTCACATTACTTAGATGTGGAAGAGGAGAATACTGGATATCAACGACCAACCCCAGTATTAGTACTATAGGTAAGGCCTTACTTCGATGGACATATAGGGTTTCAGGACAGAATAAGAGCTATCTTCTCGGTACTTTCTGCTTTAGGAAATTCGCAATTCTAGCTCTTTGAAGCTACGGTTGTACTTCCCCGAAAAATTTTGGAGGATAGCAAGCTGAAAACTCCTCGATAGAGAATTTATAAGGGTTCCAAAACTCTAGCCTATTTCACATTCACATTGAAATGCCATCTGGTACGAGAGCTTTGGTTGGTTTGGATTTGGAGATAATTGCCTCAACCTCACTGTGAATGTGATGAAGATAGGCTGCAGCGCTCGAGTTTCTTGAATCTTCGGATAACATCTCGTTTGGTCTTGTTTTGTAACAGTTGTTGTTGTAGCAGTTTTAACATACTCCGTTGTTTGTTTTCTGACTAATCCGGTTCTTCCTCAATGTCCAGGTTTAGGAATTCTGCTACCTTTATGGGCTGTAGCCAGAGATCCTCTGGACTGAGTTGGGTAGGTTTGGCTGGAAAATTAAACAGATGCAGCGTATTGTGCGGGCCTATATCGCACGCTGGGCAAGCGTTGCGCACATCTTCGTCAATTCGTGCCCAATACGAATTGAGACGGCTGCACCATACTGAACGGTTGTTGTCGTTGCTGTAATACATGTAGATGTTGGATTCTGCTAACCTGGTTCGAGCTCCAGATTTAAAAATTCGGCTACCTTAATGGCCTGTAATCAGACATCTTCTGGAGTGAGTTGGGTAGGTTTGGCGGTGCAATTAAAGAGGTACAGCGTATTATGTGGGTCTATATCACACGCCGGGCAGATGTCACGCACATCTTCGTCATTTCGTGCCCAAAATGAATTAAGATGGCTGCACCATCCTGAGCTGTAACTGCGCCAAAACTACCTTGGTTTGTCTAAGCAGCTGAACTCCGAGGTCGGCATTCATACTGTAATTGCTGATGGCATCTGCGACTACCTCAGCATGAATGCCACTCAGACCTGGCTTCTTGCTGCCGGCTAGCGTCTTGAGGGCCTTGTTCCTACTTTTCATCTTATGGCAGCTTGCGCGGATGAATTGAACATGCTGTCGAATGTGACCACTAGAATCTTTGGGCAGTTCGTGGTCGTATTAAATTTCCCTCGACCTGCAAACATTCACCTGTGTTCTCATCTCCTATGGCCTTTGAGTTCGTGGCGGTTATTTTCATATTCCTCGCTTGAAAGTATACGGCAAGCTCCGCGAGATAGGGGTTCAATCTTTCACATATGTCATCAATCATCAACCCGGCGCCATGATCGTACAATCATCCGTTACGTTCTCTAAACCGTCTGGAGGGCGAGGAATTCCGGAAAGCTAGAGGCTAAACAGTTCGGACATATCACCCCACTTTGGGGAACTCCCTATTTCACTCTACGTGCTTTGGACTTCTTGTTCCGGAATTCCACGTACCACTGGCGTCCACACGTATAGTTGATTATCCAAAGTTTCAAACTTGATTATGTATTTTTTGTAAAGGTGGATGAAGGTGGTGCATAACTGTGTTGCACTTTTTTTTGACAGCTGAATACTGACTTGGGGTTACCGAAAGCAGCTCCAACTTGATGTTACAATGGTCAAGGTGTTCTTACCATTTGGAGAGCATATGGTCGATATAAATATCTATACTCTGAAAGCCCTGATTGAAAAATAAAATATCATAAACAGGAAACCATACCACCGAAATAAAGCACTTAGACGTTTGGAGAACATCTCCCCTGCGTTTCCATGACAATTGCTCTACACTCCCGAACCAACCGAGTTCCACTTAGCCAAGGATTATCCACTCAGCAAATATTGTTTAGTTTATTGTTATTTAATTTTATCGAAAGACCGACAACCCACATTTTATGTCAATTCAAACTATTATTTCAGTAGAATAAAGAAGATATTTAAGCCCCCACAAGAAAACTAGTTTTCCTTCCCCATTGAATCATTTTTTTTTTTCATGAGGCTTCCCAAACCGCCTACCTACAATATTCTTATTTTTTTAATATTTACTTTACCTCATGCTAATTTTTTCTAAAAAATGCAAACAAACGAAAAACTAAGGAAAAAGAAAATTAGAAAAAAGTGAAAATGCTATCTGATCTACGTCATATTTATATAAAAAACAATTTTAACAAAATAAAGATAACGAAAATAAACAAACGTTCCTACAAATTTACTGTTAAAATAACCTAGGTAGCGACTACACATAGTAACATTTTTTTTCTTTCAAGAAATAAAATCACAGTATGTGTCAAATACAGGGTAAGATAAACCGACTCACGCTGCCCGAATGTTGCTCCGCGGTATTTTGGCCCATTCCCGCGAAGCACTTGCTTGAGGTGATCGACACTTTGGTATTTTTTAGTGCCTTGCTTTCCAAATACTCCAGACACAATGGTCCAACGGATTGGTATCCGAAGACTTTAATGGCCATTGTGCGCTGGAAATGAAGCGAGGAACCTCATTTTTTAATAAATCTTGGGTGGCGCGTGCTAAGTGCGATGGTGCTGAGTCCTGTTTGAATGTCCAAGGTCGGCGGCCCAAATGTTTGCGTGCCCAAGAGTTTAATACACTACACCCTCCAGAATATTTTCGCCATAATATTCGGCATTTATTCAGATGCCACAGTCGATTAATACGAGCGAAGAGCGACCATCGGCTGTTATGGCGGCCGACACTATCACCATGGCCAGCGCTTGAGTTCTGGTGGCCAACCGAAGGTGCACATTTTTAGCTGACCTCGTTGACAAGTAAACACGATCATTTTGTTTATTTACAAACTGCTGGACAACGAATGTTTTCTCATCGGAAAAAACCAAATTCGGCAGTTCACCACTTCGACCACTTTCGGCCAAGCGAAGCAACTCTTTAGCTCTTTTGAGTCTATTTTCATTCTGTTGCGGTGTAAGTTCTTGCACTTTTTGGAATTTCAATGGCTTTAACCTGAGTTAATTTTTTCAATATTTGCCGAATGGAATATTGCGATATGTTCAGCTCACGAGCCATTTTTCGACCAATGCGTCGCTTCTTTACATTTCGAACCATTTCTGCTGTTGTTGCTATTTACTTCCGTCTACTTCCTTGACGTCGGGCTACGCTACCAGTATCACGGTAACGAGCGTTGGGACGAGACACAAAAGATTTATTCGGATTTAAATGCTGGCGTGCTCTAACGATAGCCACTTGTGGTTTTCCAGCCAAATATAAAGAAATCACACTATCACGCCATCACGAATAACTTTTTTTCTTGAAAATTCTCACCAAAATGCTTTTTTACGCTTTTAAACAATATAATGAGCTATCACTGGAATATTTTTAACAGCTTTCGGACGAGTGGCTTAGTCTGAAGTTGGATGCAGTTTTTTTTTTCATCTCACCCTGTACAATAAATTATTCTTTTTTCCTGGGGAGAAAACTAGTATTTTATAACCCATATTTATAAGTTTTATTATTAAAATAAGATATTAGGTGTATTGAACTGAGTAATATGTTACTGGCCAATAAGACTTCTTTATTACAAATTGAATAAATAAATAAGTTTTCCTTATAACTTTCCAGTCTTTAAGTCTTTAACTATAGCCATGGTTAACCGATAGACCCAACATTTTATTTGAAACTATTTCGAAACTTCCTACTGGAATCTATTTGAAAAATTGACAATCCAAACTAAGAAAAAGTCATACTTTCTAGGACGAAAAGTGCCACCTCAACCCTTTCTCTGAAATACGTAGGCTTTCCATTAAACCTTATTCCTCAAGAAAAAAACCTTTTAACATCGTAAACAAAATTTGTTTCACAGTGTAATCTCTTACATTAATGGTGCCTAAACGCTGTCATCAAACACATTCGTACACGTAAAAAAGCCACAAATTTACGCACCCTTGGCAAACAGCGAACAAAAATCATATGGTAGCCAGCCACAAGCCGCCACACCAAACCCATTAAAACAAGAAACCGGTAGCAGCACCGTTTTTCACTCACAAAACAAATCACACCATGAACGAAAAATTGCAATTTGACTTACACACGCTCTAATTGATGTGTTAACAAAAGAAACCATTTGTAAATAAAGCTAAACACACCGAATACCCATTGACATACAACCGAACGCACAAACATAATTATGATACTGACTCTGGAGACAGTCAGACGGACAGACAAACAGTCAGCCAGCACGTATGCAAATATAAATAACAAACAAAACTGAAAAAAAAAGAAAATCACAAAAAATTATAATTCACGCCAAGGTAAATATCAAACAATAATAGTCGCCAGCATTGGCATTAATCGGTGATCAATTCGATGACGAGGACAAATTGTTTGGGTAATTGAAGCGTAATTGTTTTTTTTTTGGAAATTTACCCAACTAGCTAGGCAATAAAAAACAAAACGATATTGCTCAACTCAAGCTGTCAATGAAAATGTGCTGAAAATCCTTGCCCATGATAATGGGCATAAATCATTCTCAGAAAAACTCCACGATGATCCATCAATCATATAGATCGATATAAAAGATTAGTGAAATAACTGTCTGACTGACTGACTTTGAATCAATGTAGTCTTAGTGAGTAGGCTTGTGATAGGGATAGGTTTTTGGAAATTCGTACTAAAAGGGTACGAAAATTACTAAAAATTTAATACTTTGTATTGACCAAAAGGGAATGAGCTAGAATTTTGAAATTTGGTATGAGAGTCTCTGATGAAGTGCCGGATAGGTGTACCAAAGAGGTTTTGGAAATTCGAAATTTAAGGTTACGAAATTTACTAAAATGGCACTAATGGTTGAGTTGGAACTTCTCGTCCTAGAAAGTATGCGTTTTTCTTAGTTTGGATTGTCGATTTTTCAAATAGCCCCGGTAGGAAGTTTCGAAACAGTTTCATTTACATATTTCATATGATGGAAAAACTGCACCCAACTTCAGACTGCTGTCATTTCTAAGCCACTCGTACGACAGCTGTTAAAATTATTCCAGTGACAGCTCGTTATACTGTTTACAAGCGTAGAAAAGCAATTTGGTGAGAGTTTTTCAGAAAAAAGTTATTCGTGATGGAATTCAAGCGTAATAATGTGATTTCTTTATATTTAGCTGGAAAACCACAAGTGGCTATCGTTAGAGCACTCCAGCAATTAAATGTGAATAAATCTTTTGTGTCTTGTACCTTCGCTCGTTACCGTGATACTGGTAGTGTAGCCCTACGACAAGGAAGTGGACGAAAGAAAACAACAACATCAGCAGAAATGGTTCGAAAAGTAAAGAAGCGACTTGATCGAAACCCGGGTCACAGTGGCCGAAAAATGGCTCGAGAGCTAAACATATCGCAATATTCTATTCGTCGAAAATTTAAAAAATTAGCCATTGAAATTCCAAAAAGTGCAAGAACTTACACCGCAACAGAAAGCAAATATACTCAAAAGAGCTAAAGTGTTGCTTCGCTTGGCGGAAAGTTGTGAACTGCCGAATTTGGTTTTCTCCACTCCGATGAGAAAACATTCGTTGTCCAGAAGTTTGTAAACAAACAAAATGATCGTGTTTACTTGCCAAAGAGGTCAGCTGAAAATGTGCACCTTCGGTTGGCCACAAGAACTCAAGCGCCTGCCATGGTGATGGTGTGGACCGCCGTAACAGCCGATGGTCGCTCTCCGCTCGTATTAATCGACCGTGGCATCAGAATAAATGCCGAATATTATCACGAAAATGTTCTGGGGGGTGTATTAAAGTTTTGGGCACGCAAACATTTTGGCCGCAGACCTTGGAAATTCTAACAGGACTCTGCACCATTGCACTCAGCTCGCGCCACCCAAGAATGGTTACGAAATGAGGTTCCTCGCTTTATTTCCAGCGCACAATGGCCACCAAAATTTTCGGATACCAATCCGTTGGACTATGGTGTCTAGAGTATTTTGGAAAGCAAGGTTGGCACTAAAAACTACCAAAGTGTCGATCACCTCAAGAAAGTGCTTCGCCGAGAATGGGCGAAAATACCGCAGAGCAACATTCGGGCAGTGTGCGACGGTGTCATTGGCCGTTTGTAGGCCATAATTCGTGCCAAAGGTGACCAATTCGAACAAATCTAAACTTATTCTAAAATTTGATGCTATTTCCGATATTTTTTGCTTTCATTCAATTAAATTTAAAAAAAAGTATATCTCACCCTGTACAACTGTTTTAAAAGTATTCAATGGTGCTAAACTTCGATCTCTGCTGATGACTTGGTTGGAGAGACGTAGATTGTTTTGTATATCCATACTAAATGTTACTAAATTTGGTATTGGGCGAAGGAATAGAGCTAAAATTCTGACATTTGATATTGAGGTCATATTGGTTTCTAGGGAGTCGTGGAAATAAGTTTGTACTGAAAAATTTAATGTGGGTCTATTGTGCAACGGTTTGCTAATATCGAAATGAAAGGTTTTGAAGATTTTTTTGACTTTAAAAGTTAAACATTTTCCTTTTATTCTTTCCGAAAACAGAAAAGCTTTAATGACTAACTTCATACTTTCATACACTGATTAAAAAAAATTGGTCCAAATTCAAAAATTAGGACCAAAACCTCCGAAGGTGTAGTCACATGAGTGCTGTACGAAAAAGTGGACCTATGTACATTTATATTTTTTGAGAAGTTAAACTAACCGACGTCAGACGTCTGATTTGGTTAAAAATTGGGATCGAAACATTCAAGATATGGAACATGTGGAAGCACAGCTATATACCAAAATGTGAACCTATATTGGAGATATTTTTGTGAGGACCTATATTGGAGATATTTTTTGATTTTGTGCCAAATGAGAAACCGAAATGCCAAATTACAGATGTTTATGTTGAAAATTGGGGTCGAAACCTGCAAAATCAAGAGATACTGTCATTTGGAGACTTTAACTAAATACGGACCTACAATAAATATATTTTTGCGAAAAGAAATGTAAAATTACAACTGAAATTAGAACCAAAACCTTTAAAATACCGAAAATCCAAGGATACCTGAATATAGGGTACTATACAGAAAAGTAGACTTATGTTAAATATTTTTTGTGAGAAGTAAAACTAAAAAATGAGAAGCCGAAATGAAAATAAAATCTAAATTGTTTGAAAGCTGGAACGCAGTAGAATATGAACCGTTTTATATATTTCTCAAATACGAATAGCGCCCCAACTGAGTACGAAATGTCCAGCCAAATAGGTACATGTTGAAATCTGTTTAAGACTAGGCCCTATCCGACCACAAAAGACTTATAAAACCATCAAAACGATATTAATGGTTATATAACTAAACCATTTCCAATAGAGGCGGTGTCAGAAAAGATATTGAAGCATTTAAAAATTGTTAGGAGACCTTATCATATTTCAAAATACCATAAAATTATAAATTTCATAAAACCAATCAACTCATATAAACTTGGGGACCTAAATTCTGTTTCATCCTGACGAGAATAAAATCTTTCAACATAATATAAAATTACTCACCAGCACTGTAAATTCTTCATTCCATTTGGGTAAATATGTGTTTTTAACAAAATCCGTTTTACGTTTACTTTTATTATCGATTAATAGTTCCACATATGGATTGGGTTTTAGAAAGCCACTATTTCGTAGTGACGCCTCTTCAACTAGAAAATAAAAAAATTAAAGGTATATATGTAATTGGAAACATGTGTTGAAATTCTCATCGCAAAACTTACTTGTTACACTCAGTTGATGATAGCCTTGATTTGTTGATGTAGCGGCTGCGGAACCATTACTCAGCGCCGATGATGACGATGGTCCCGAATTGTTGTAATCACCCACAACGGATGAAGCAGCTTGTGCAGCAACAAGTCCGCCGGATGCAGCTGCCATTGCATTACCGGAGGCCATGCTCAATAACAATTTGGTGAAATTTTAAAATATCTCCTTACAATAGTTCTGGCAATTTTCTTCAGCAATAGTAATGATGAAGTTTCTGTAAAAAAAGCAGTTATTTAATATTTTTTTTTTTCCTTTTTCAAAAAAGTAAAAATGTAATCGTACAACAAAAATAATTGTGTTATTAACGGCCTAGAATGTGAAATGAAAATTATTCATGACAATATCAGATTAAGCCAACGGCGATAAGAAAAAAAAAAATACACAAAAAAATGGCAAGTCCATATATAAGGCAAACTCACGCACACACGAAGGAGTCTTCGATAGTAGAAAGTTACCAGAGATAAGATTTCGAAATTGTATATTTAACTTCACCTATGGGCTTTGTTTGATTAAAACCCATTATTGTTCTTGTTTTTCTTTTTGCTATAGAAAAGAACTAGTATGACGTCCATCCATCAAGATGTATTGCTACAATCTCGCATGTAAAACTTATCATGTGTAGAAAAAAAACGACAAGCAAAAGATTCTGCGTCTGGTAGATACTCCGTATCATAGACGTTCCTACAGACTCTGAAACAAATTGTTAGTCATAGTCGTAATTTAAGAGAAGTACTAAACTAAATCGAATAACTTGGTTATGGGAGAGAAATATGTGGGGCAGAGCAGCATTTGTATCCTTATTTGTTGGATGTATTGAAAGGATCAAACTTACGTTTCCATCTTCATGGAATGTAAAATCGGTGGTAATTCTTTAAAATAAGGAATATCGGAGGCATCGTTTTATAAGTGATATTTTTGCGATAGGTTTAAACTACCCACTGAAAACCTGATAAATTTAGTCAATCAGGAGACATATAGACGATATTAAAAAAGTAGTTCCACTTCTCGCAAAAATGTTCAATGTAGGTCTCATTTTTTTCAGTGTCTTATTTTTTTTCAGTGTCTTATTTTTTACAGTGCTGGTAGCACTTGATCTTTGATATAAAAATGTCCAAAAAATGTCGGAAGAGAGAAGAGAGAGACTCTATTAAGAAGTCTGAGTGGCCTCTATACTGATGCAGTCACAGATGCCATCAACAACCACAGTTTTAGTTCAGCAGTCACATTTAACGACGTAACTGTGACTGATCCGAAGAGGTGCGCTGGCTGTTTTAACCGCCAATTTGTCGAGCACCCCGAGAGTGACAAGCCGAGGCGAAGAGTACTACGTCGTATAAGAGCTCTTCCCGCCGAGGATGTACCTCCACAGTTTACGATGGGTGATGTTGCGAATGTCATCCGAAACGCTAAGTCATCTAAAGCGTTGGGCCCGGACGGAATATCAATGGTAATGTTGAAGCAACTGGATACGCCGGGAGTTGAGTATTTAACCAAAGTCCTTAACTTGTCGTTAGCCACCCACATAGTTCCCGAAGCCTGGAAAATGGGCAGGGTGGTCCCGCTACTGAAGCCTGGCAAGGATGCCAGCAAAGGCGAATCATACAGGCCAATTTCGCTTTTGTCGCCAGTAGCAAAGACTCTCGAGGCCTTACTCCTCCCCAGTATTAGAGGAAGCTATTCAGTTGCTAACCATCAACACGGTTTCCGTCCACTACACAGCACTACAACAGCATTGCACGCCATATCCACACATATCAGTCGAGGACTCAACCAGAACAGGCCGTGCCACAGAACAGTAGTGGTGGCTCTTGACCTATCAAAGGCCTTTGATACGGTCAACCATGCTACGCTGTTCGAGGACATTGAGAACACTACCCTCCGGCCAAGTTTGAAACGTTGGATAGTCAACTATATGTGTGGACGCCAGTCGTACGTGGAATTCCGGAATAAGAAGTCCAAGCCTCGTAGAGTGAAACAGGGAGTTCCCCAAGGTGGGGTGATATCTCCGGAACTGTTTAACCTCTACCTTTCCGGAATTCCGCGCCCTCCAGACGGCATCGAGATCGTAACTTATGCGGATGATTGTACGATCATGGCGTCGGGTCCTGTAGTTGATGACATATGTGTCAGGGTGAATAACTATCTCGCGGAGCTTGCCGCCTTCTTCCACGCGAGGAATATGAAAATATCCGCCACTAAATCGACGTTGCAGTACCTGCTTGGGTGTTATCGCGGGAGTCACCCTAACCACCATATGGTGGATAGAACTCCTCCACCCAGGCGTGTCAGGAAGGACCTGCACGATCTAGAGAGAGAGGTCCAGCGATATAAGAGAGAGCCTCTAGATCATGAAGCCTATCAATAGAAGCCTATCCGAATAGCATTCATACTGATGCAGTCACAGAGGTAGTTAATAATTACAGTATGAATGCCATACTCGGAGTCCACCCCCCCATCCATTGCAGCTGAAGAACGTCGGCTGCCTAGGCAAACCAGGGTAGTTTTGGCCCAACTACGTTCAGGATGGTGCAGCCGCCTCAATTCGTATTGGGCACGAATTGATGAGGATGTGCGGAACGCCTGCCCAGCGTGCGATACAGGCCCGCACAACACGCTGCACTTGTTTAATTGTCCTGCCAAACCTACCCAACTCCGTCCAGAGGATCTATGGCTACAGCCCATAAAGGTAGCAGAATTCCTAAACCTGGACATTGAGGAAGAACCAGATTAGTCGGAAAAAACAACAGAACGTGTAAAACTGCTACAACAACAACAACCACAGTTTTAATGCGAGGATTAAATCTTGTAAGAAAAAAATCCAAACAAAGCCGAAAATCATAGGTCTAACTATATGGGGTCTATTCAAAATGTGTTCCTTAAACATCAACGTATTGCTGGTCTTTGAAAAAATATTCTTTGAAAAATCCACGTTTTGTTGGTTCTTGAAAAAATATTCTTGGCAAAATATACGTTTTGTTGGTCCTTGAAAAAATATTCTTTGAAAAATACACATTTTGTTGGACCTTGAAAAAATATTCTTTGAAAAATCCAGGTTTTGTTGGTCCTTGAAAAAAAAAAAATTCTTTAAAAAATTCACGTTTTGTTGGAGCTTGAAAAAATATTCCTTGAAAAATCCACGTTTGTTGGTCCTTGAAAAAATATTCTGGGAAAAATCCACGTTTTTGGATCCTTGAAAAAATTTTCTTGGAAAAATCCACGTTTTCTTGATCCTTAAAAAATCCACGTTTTGTTGGTCCTTGAAAAATATTCTTTAAAAAATCCACGCTTTTGTTAGTCCTTGAAGAAATATTCTTTGAAAAGTCCACGTTTTGTTGGGCCTTAAAAAATATTCTTTGAAAAGTCCACGTTTTGTTAGTCCTTAAAAATATAATCTTTAAAAAAATCCATGTTTTGTTGGTCTTGAAGAAATAATCTTTAAAAAAATCCAGGTTTTGTTGGTCCTTCAAGAAATAATGTTTAAAAAAATCCACGCTTCTGTTGGTCCTTGAAAAAATATTCTTTAAAAAATACACGTTTTGTTGGACCTTGAAAAAATATTCTTTGAAAAATCCACGTTTGTTGGTCCTTGAAAAAATATTCATGGAAAAATGCACGTTTTTTGGCCTTGAAAAAATATTCATGGAAAAATCCACGTTTTTTGGTCCTTGAAAAAATATTCATGGAAAAATCCACGTTTGTTGGTCCTTGAAAAAAATTTTCTTTGAAAAATCCACGTTTTTTGGTCCTTGAAAAAATATTCTTGGAAAAATCCACGTTTTCTTGATCCTTAAAAAATCCATGTTTTGTTGGTCCTTGAAAAATATTCTTTAAAAAATCCACGCTTTTGTTAGTCCTTGAAGAAATATTCTTTGAAAAGTCCACGTTTTGTTGGGCCTTAAAAAATATTCTTTGAAAAGTCCACGTTTTGTTAGTCCTTAAAAATATAATCTTTGAAAGATCCACGTTTTGTTGGTCCTTAAAAATATAATCTTTGAAAGATCCACGTTTTGTTGGTCCTTAAAAAAATATTCTTTGAAAAATTCACGTTTTGTTGGTCCTTAAAAAAATATTCTTTGAAAGATCCACGTTTTGTTGGTCCTTGGAAAAATATTCTTTGAAAAATCCAGTTTTCCTTGATTTTTGAAAAACTATACTTTGAAAAATCCAAGTTTTGTTGGTCCTTTAAAAACTATTCTTTAAAAAATCAACGTTTCGTTGATTTTTGAAAAACTATTCTTTAAAAAAAATTACGTTCATTTCGTCCTTGAACAAAATATTCGTTAAAAAATCCACGTTCAATTCGTCCTTGAAAAATATTCTTTAAAAAATCCACGTTCTGTTGGTCCTTGAAAAATATTCTTTAAAAAATCCACGTTTTGTAGGTCCTTGAAAAATATTCTTTAAAAACTCCACGTTTTGTTGGTCCTTGAAAAAATATTCTTTAAAAAATCCACGTTCAATTCGTCCTTGATAAAATATTTTTTAAAAAATCCACGTTTTGTTGGTCTTGGAAAAAATATTCTTTGAAAAATCCACGTTTTGTTGGTCCTTGAAAAATGTTCTTTTAAAATCCCCCGTTCTTTTGGTCTTTTAAAAAACATTATTTTAAAAAATCACGTTTTGTTAGTCCTTGAAAAAATATTTTTTCAAAAAATCACGTTTTGTTAATCCTCGAAAATAGATTCTTTCCACGTTTTGTTGGTCCTCGAAAATAGATTCTTTAAAAAATCCACTTTTTGTTGGTCCCTGAAAAAATATTCTTTGAAAAATCCACGTTTTGTTGGTCTTTGAAAAAATATGTTTTGAAAAATCCCTGTTTATTGGTCTGTAGGTCCCTTTGTTCTGGGAATCCTTGAAATATATTCTTAAAAAACCAACATTGTCTGGTGGCCTTTGAAAACGGTTACAGCACCAATAGTTTTATTTTTTTTAGAGAAAGGTAACTTCTTCAGAATCGGCAAGTGAGCAACCGTTAACTGGACTGGTCTATATTTTTGTATTACTACTCTCTAATGTTGCTATATCCTGGTGATGGGTAGGTCAACTGGTAAATTCGGTCCACATCGTTTCGACTCTAAATAAAAACAATTAAAATCAACTGTGGAAAATTGTTATTTTTGTTTTGGTGAATCATGTTTTTCTTTTTTTGCCGATTACACACTGAACCCTATGGCACTGAGGCTACTCGTGTTTCGTTAAATGCAGCATTGTGATAACAGCTGACAGGCAGCAAAATAATTCTGTGCTTGCTTGGAAAAGCCAACAAAAAAAAACTCCACAAAACTGACATGAAATTGGAATTTTTTTTCTCTATGCAGAGCACTAGCGATAACAAACTTTCAAAACAAAGATAATAATGGCCAAGAAATGAAGTGAAGTGAAGAAAACGAACAAAAATCCAAGTTGACACCACACAAACAACCTGACCTTGAGTTGTTTTGATTAAAAACAAAGGAATGGTCAACAAAGATTGCTGGTAACTCCATGTACTCTATGAGATCTAATACCAAATATAAAATAAGAATAGTTTGTTTAAAATTTTCCAAGGAATATTAAACCATTCATACATTACCAACAACGTTGGTTGACTGGCTGGCTGGCCTGACCAATGTAAAGGAATGTCTGAGCGTAGTGGAATGTTAGGTGCAACAGAAACAAATATGCAATAACACGTAATAAACGGCAACAAAGTGGAATGTGAAGAACTACCTATACAAAAGTGTGTATTTCTGGTCGGAAAAATAAAACCGAAAACAATGGCCCATGATAACTCTCCTTATACCGAAAACAGGAATAGAAACAAATGAAAACGATTATAAATAGTGCAAAATTAATTCATGTATAACATAATATACCTTGTAATGATTACGTTGCAGTAATGCCAAGCGGCGGCGGCAAGGCAGCGACGACAGCAGTAACAGCCGAAAAACGAGCCTATATTAACTGGAATTTATATTTGTTTTGACCAACAAGAGACTGAGCTGTCCACACACAAAAAAGGTTTCTTGGAATTCTTTTCTATAAATTCATTTTCGTTGCGTCAAACCACCACCACCACAACACATACTTGCGCTGCTGTCACTTGCAGTACACAATAATACACATTGATGCGACACTACTGTTTTATTATTTTTTTTTCGTCACTCTTGTTTCCTTTGACCATTCCCACACCGCACCGAAAACAAATCATTCATCAACAAAACAGCAGCGACGACGACAATTCTTTTCTTTTTTTCCCAACAAAAATTTTTCTTTCCTTCTTCGATTGGCTTCGGCCACCGTCAACACTCATTCATCGGAATTTTTGACTTTTCTACGCAATGTTTTCACAATATTTTATAGTCAATATGTACGTATGTTTGTTTAAAACTATGTGAACTTTGTTCTAATGCAATTTTATCTATATTTTCAACAGTAATTAAAGTTATATTGCCGTATTATATTTTTTTACTAGGGATGGTCGTTCTTCGTATCGGGGACTAATCGATTAATCGACAATTTCATTGAATGGAAAATGGAGTACAAACGGTTGATCATGAAAAACAATCGATAAACATTATATCGATTTTATATGTTTTTAGACGTTGCTTTGAGTATAATGTCCGATTAGATAGTAAATATTAAAGGCCTTTACTTTATAAAAATAGTCATAATGAGGACTATTGGCAATGTACCTATACCGAGAGACAGAATCAAGTTTCACCGAATGAACATGACATAATGGGGAAATTTCAGTTATCGATAACTGAATAACAGCAATTTATGTCATGTTCATACGGATATAAAATAATTGACAATGAAAATAAGATATATTACAGCGCATTTAAATTATTGAAGATAAAATAAATAAAAAACTTGTTCTACGGGGTAATATGAAAAAACTGCAACCAACTTCAGACTGCCGTCATATCTAAGCTGTTAAAATTATTCCAGTGACAGCTCATTATGTTGTTTACAAGCATACAAAAGCATTTTGGTGAGAATTGTCCAGAAAGAAAGTTATTCGTGATGGAATTCAAGAGTGATAGTGTGATTTCTTTATATTTGGCTGGAAAACCACAAGTGGCTATCGTTAGAGCATTCCAGCATTTAAATGTTAATAAATCTTTTGTGTCTCGTACCATCACTCGTTACCGTGATACTGGTAGCGTAGCCCGACGTCATTCGAGGAGTTGGACGAAAGAAAACAGCAACATCAGCAGAAATGGTTCGAAAAGTAAAGAAACGACTTGATCGAAACCCGCGTCGCAGTGGCCGAAAAATGGCTCGTGAGCTGAACATATCGCAATATTCCATTCGGCAAATATTGAAAAATGAGCTCGGAGTTAAGCCATTGAAATTCCAAAAAGTTCAAGAACTTACAACGCAACAGAAAGAAAATAGACTCTAAAGAGCTCTGAAGATGGCCATCAGAACTCATGGTGATGGTGTGGGTCGCCATAACAGCCGATGGTCGCTCTCCGCTCGTATTAATCGACCTTGGCATCAGAGTAAATGCCGAATATTACCGCGAAAATAATCTGCAAGGTGTATTAAAAGCCTTGGGCACTCAAACATTTTGGCCGCAGACCTTGGACATTCCAACAGGACCATCGCACTCAGCACGCGCCATCCAAGAATGGTTACAAAATGAGGATCCTCGTTTCATTCCAGCGCTCAATCAACACCTAGATTTTTTATTGAACATGCGATAAAATACCTAAAAATACCCATCCCACGTTGGGCGCCAATTGAAAGATTATAGTTCTATATAAGGAATTCTAAACTAAAAAGTGTGTTAGGCGAACGTTCAGACCAATGATAACAAACCTGATCATATTATATTATAACATTTGGAAGAATCCTCACGTTGGGGCCAATTCATAGCTATTTTTAATCAAATTAAAAAAATAGATTTGTAAATATTTGGTCAAACAAAAAAATATCTAAAGTTTTTTGGAAAAGTAAAATCATAAAATGTTGTAACAGAACCCACGTTGGGCGCCGAATGGCTTATTTAAAAGGACGTGTGACGGTTTCATTGGCCGAAATTTTCCGAAATTTTCCGCTTTCATTCAAAAAAATTAAAAAAAAAAGGAAAAATATGGCATTTGACTTTGGTGCAGTTTTTGGTATCTCACCCTGTATGTGTTCTTTTCGTACTGCCGAATAATTTACAGAGGTTAATTTTCTCAGTAAGTAATAGAAAATTACATTCCCATCTTAAGATTAGTAGAGGTATGGATATGAAATAAATGAAACAACAATTAACTTTTGTATTTTTCTTTTATTTAGAATGTGCAAGTATTTGAATAGCATAATACATATTTGTAATTAAAAATTGGTACATAGAAAAATTTGGCAAGGTAGGTTTTTGTCAAATAAGAGATAGAAAATTATCGCAAAGTTAGTGTCGAACAACGACACTAGCCCCACAAACAATTGGGAAATGGAAACAATTGAATTAAAAAAAATTAATAAAAAAAATTTCCTAAAAATGTTCATACTAATCTCAAAGTAGCCTTTTAGCTTTGTTTTTGGTCAAGATAATAAACTAAAAAAAATATAAATTATGGAAAATTTTAAATTAAAAAAATACACATGTCACGTACAAATAAATACAAGGAACTTATTCATACAGCGATAAATGCTTTTGTCTTTTGTTTTGCAAGGAAAATATTCATTATACAATTAGATGATATTGTAAAAAAAGAGTTTTTTGTTGGTATACAAAAATTTGGTATATAATCGTTGGTATATGGAGGTCATTTATATATGTATGTATATATATATTAAAATTATTTATGTATATTTACTTTATATACTTATGTAGTTATATATGTATATTGTTATTACATTGTTTGCTATTGATATTTAAAATTATTGATTAAAAATATTGCTTGATTGGCTGTGATTGAGTTACATTTATATATTTATTTTGTTTATATCTCTGAGCTTTTACTGTTTCATTTTATATCTCCTTCCATACGTCCTTTTTTTCTCTGTTGTTTCTTTTTTTATTTACTCAATTTCTCCTTCAGCCAGTCTTCAGTCAATTCGTCTAATTCACGTATCTCATAGACTCGAGTTAGATCGATTTCACGCTGCAATGCACTCTTGGTACAGGCGTACATCATTTGCAATTCAATTTGGCTATCGCGTGGTGTATAGAATATAAAACACATGGGATATGATATCCGAGAATCGTCGTGAACCATTTTATAGGTGTAGATCACGTAGCGCGGCTGATGTCCGGGCAGTTGTTCCTGCAGATCTTCGACGGAAATGTCATCAATGGCATCATCGATAACAACAAGTTGTTTTTCGCGATCAACTTTTACTGTGGGAAGAAAACGAAAATTATACGACATTAATAATTGTGTTGAAAAAAAATTAAATTAAATTAAATTAAAAAAAAAAAAAACAAAATATTCATTAAAAATACAATAAAAAAGGCATAAAATTAAAAATAAATAAAAAAATAGGTGGGAGTATCAGACGGATTGATCAGAAAGACATTTTTGGGAACGCTGCTAGAAAAAAAAATTCTTAAAAAAAAATATATTTTGTTGTTGCAAAATGGCTAGGCTTAATTCCATTATTGTTGTTTTTATAAAAACATTGTTTGTTTGTTAGTGGAGAACGATGGTAATGTTTGCCAGGGGGTAAAGCAGGGAATACCTAGTTTTCGGAAAGAGCCATTAATCCTAATCAGTTCCCCTGTTTTTTGTCTGGCATATTCTCCCCAGAAGTTATTTTAAAAATAATTTCTATGACAAAAAAAAAACTTTTTTTACCCAAGTGACGAGATCGTAAGCTCAATAGAAGAGGATTGCTGGGCCTTTCCGAAACCTAGGTATTCCCTGCCTTACCCCCTGGTAAACATTACCATCGTTCTCCACTAATAAACAAACGTTGTTTGGATAAAAACAACAATAATGGGATTAAGCCTGACAATTTTGCAACAATAAAATACTATTGTATACCGAACGAACAAGCCAACACTTTTCGAAAAAAATATTCTTAAAAATCCTTTGTCCTTGAAAAAATATTCTTTTGTGTCAAAAAATGTTTCTTGAGAGAATGAAACTATTCCCAGAGTCATGAGTCGTTTCTCGAGATATTTGCGATCGTTTGAAATTGGAAAAAAATCCTTCGTCCTTCAAAAAAAATTATAAAAAATCCTTCGTTCTTCAAAAAATATTCTTAAAAATTCCTCGTCCTTGAAATAAAAATAATTCAAAAGTCCGTCGTCCTTGAAAAAATATTATTTTGTCTAAAAAATGTTTCTTGAGAGAACGAAACTATTCCCAGAGTCATTAGTAGTTTCTCGAGACATTTGCGATCGTTTGAAATTGGAATTGAAATTGCTCGTCCTTAAAAAATATTAAAAATCCTTCGTCCTTCAAAAAAATATTCTTAAAAATCCCTCGTGCTTAAAAAAATACTTTCAAAAGTCCGTCGTCCTACAAAAAATATTCTTAAAAATCCCTCGTCCTTGAAAAAAAATAGTTCTAAAGTCCGTCATCCTTGAAAAAATATTTTTTTAAAACGTCCACGTTCTCTTGGTCCTTCGAAAAATATTCTTTAAAAAATCCACCTTCTCTTGGTCCTTCAAAAAAATCCACGTTCTCTAGGTCCTTGAAAAATATTCTTTTAAAAAATCCAGGTTCTCTAGGGCCTTGAAAAATATTCTTTTAAAAAATCAACGTTCTCTAGGTCCTTGAAAAATATACTTTTAAAAAATCCATGTTCTCTAGGGCCTTGAAAAATATTCTTTTAAAAAATTCACGTTCTATATGTCCTTGAAAACAAATTCTTTAAAAAATCCACGTCGTTGAAAAAGTATTTTTTAAAAAAATCCACCCTCTCCAGGAGCTTGAAAAAATATTTTTTAAAAAATCCTCATTTTGTTGGTCCTTGAAAAAATATATTTTAAAATATTCACGTTCTCTAGGTCTAAAAAGCGCTTTCTTTAAAAAATTCACGTTTTGTTGGTCCTTGGAAAGCGTTTTCTTTAAAAAAATCCAAGTTTTGTGGGTCCTTGAAATAAAAAATATTCTTGAAAAAAATCCACGTTCTGTTGGCCCTGAAAAAATATTTCTTTAAAAAATCCACGTTCTGTTGGTCCTTAAAAAAACATTCTATAAAAAATCCTTCGTCCCCGTCTTCATATAGCCCACATTGAACGGTAACTCCCGATATTGGGTATTTTGATGACTTAAGGACATTATTCACCGGAATTGTTTCAAATTTGGTATTTGAATTTCGTAATGAATACTATAGCCTAAGACAGAAAATTGTCTATACAGGTCCCCGTCTTCGTATAGCCCCAATTGAACGGTACCTCCCGATATTCGATATTTTGTTGATTTTAGCGACATTATTCACCGGAATTGTTACAAATTTTGATATTTGAAGTTCGTAATGAATACTACAGCCTATGGCAGAAAATTGTCTGTGCAGGTCCACGTTTTCGTATAGCCCCCATTGAACGGCACCTCCCGTTTATCGGCATTTCCATGGTTTTAGCGAAATTGTTCACCGATTTTTTTTCAAGTTTCGCATTTAAATATTGTAATGGCTTATGACAAAAATTACCTATGTCGTCGTTTAGACCCTAATATGACGGCTAAATTTGGCATTTTTATCATTTAAACAGAATTTTTAACGGATTTGCCAAATTCGTTCCAAATGGTGGAAGGTATTCAAAGTTCGGCCTGGCCGAACTTAAAGCTTTTTTACTTGTTTTTTTTTTTTTCTTTGATTTCTCTCCCGTTTTTAATTTCCTTATAAATAAAACACATTTCTTTTTTATTCAAATTTGACTCTAAAAGAAGATAAATCAGATGCATATATATTTTATTAAATGAATTTTTTGTTGGTTTTCTTTGTTTGTTTGTATCGCCATTATGTTTCATTATGTACATATTTAAAAATGTCATGAAATTAGCGATTATTTTTTGTAATGATGTTTTTTTTTTTTTTGGTTGGGCGCCACACACCAAGTATTTAAAGGTCCAGGTTTTTGTGATGACAAGTGTTCTCTCTCTTTTTCTTGCTCTTTTCTAAAGTAAATTTCTAAGCTCATGGCTTGGGGTTCCATATTTTTTGTCTTTTTTTTTTCAATTAATCTCAAAACCCTGTTCCTCCAAAATACAATATATATAGCGCCCACAGAGCGTGTTTTGTTTTGGTTGTTTTGGTGTGTTATCGATAGATAATTTTTAACAATAGAAAAACTCGACTTTGGATTGGCGAATTTCCACACTTAAAAAACTACGTATTTTCTTTCATTTTGTTTTTGTCTAATGTTTCATTTATGGGTTTTCTTTTGTATCATTGTATTGCTTTTTGTTTTCTTGTGTTTTTTATTCCTTACTTTTTATTTTTACTGTTTGTTTTTTTCGTTGCCTATAAGGCGGCGGCCTCTACGTTTCTTTTCATTCTGTTTCTTATTTTTGTTTTTTGGTTAGCATTAGATTATGATTAAGGAGGAGAGGAAGGAAAGATAGGGGGAGGCAGTATGCTAATGATGGTAATGAAAAAATGTTACGAACTAAACACAATAAATATAAATAATCTAAAAACAAACTTTGTTTTCTTAGAGCTGAACGGATTTTGATTTTTTGATTTTTGCATCAAAATAGTTTTTTTACGGTTTTCCTTTTCCTCTACTACTCTTCCCTACCTATATTTATATAATATGTATGCATGTATTTTGTTTGTCTTATGTTTGGTATCTCTTGTGGCGGTTCGTTCATTTACTATGTTTTTTTTTGTTTTGTGTAATTTCCAATTATTTACAATTTAATTATGTTTACATTTGTTTTCTTTTTTTAAATTCAATTCGTCTAATAATAAGAAAACCCTTTTTGTTTATTTGTTATTGCTGTTTGTTTCTTGTTTATTTTTCGTTTTTGGTTTTCATTAAATTATGAAATATTATATAAAACTGTACTTATTTTCCCCTCGCTCTTTCCGATTTTTATGTATTTATTTCAATTTCCAATTATTTACAATGGCTGTGTTGACTTAAAAGTAAAAAAAAACTAAAAAAAACGCAATGCCTTTTTTGTTCTAAATATTTTTCAAACGACTTTGTTTTGGAATTGGAATATTACGGGATTTATAAAATCCAGGGGATTTAAATTGCTCATTTCAAATAAATTACCGTAAAGGAGGTTAAGGCGGCAAAATGCTTTAATGTAAACATTCTATAAACGAAGAAAAAATTTCATTACCCAACGCTTACATAGGACACGACAAATGCATTCATGAATTGAGGCAAATTTACAACTATGCATAAAGGCTCTTTCAGACGATATGTTTTTTTAAATATGTAGTGTCAAATTTTCCATATGTAGAATTTACACACATCGAGTGATACATGAACAACATTCAGTTGTCATGGTAGAAGAATACAGATAGATGCATCCACGATTGATAAGTCAAATATTTTTAAAGGGTTTTTTTTTTCAAAAATAAGTACATTTTTATTTACCAATCGGAGGTAATTATGGTATGCATTTTTCAACTATTTTTACAAATTTTAATAATTTTTCATTTAAAATTTTCAAGATCAAAATTTGTTGCATTTTTCAACAATTTTTACAAATTTCAATAATTTTCATTTAAAATTTTCAATTTCAAAATTGATTGCATTTTTCAATAATTTTTACAAATTTCAATCATTTTTCATATTAAATTTTCAATTTCAATTTTTTTCCAGCAGCTGTGTCTATGCGACTACCTGTATTCTTCTACCATGAGTTGAGAAATACATGAGTAAAGTACATATCATGGTAAAAGAATGTAGGTAGACGCATCAACACAGCTGCTGGGACAATGAAATGTCAAAACAATTTTGGAATTGAAAAAGTTGAATGAAAAATGAAAAAATGTTCCCAAGCGTTGATGCATCTACCTATATTCTTCTACCATGGTACATATGTAATTTTTCGATCATAGCGAGCCCTATTCTCATAGTTATTTATTTATTTTCATATATAAAATTAAATTCGCGGTAAAAAGTAATTAATAAATTATTATATTTTTTTTTAGAAAATACAAGAAATGAAATCACATGAAAAAACTGCAACCAACATCAGAATGTTGTCATTTCTAAGCCACTCGTCTGACAGCTGTTAAACTTATTCTAGTGACAGCTCATTATATTGTTTACAAGCATACAAAAGTATTTTGGTGAAATTTTTTCAGAAAAAAAAGTTTTCCGTGATGGAATTCAAGCGTGATAGTGTGATTTCTTTATATTTGGTTGGAAAACCACAAGTGGCTATCGTTAGAGCACTCCAGCATTTAAATGTGAATAAATCTTTT